TAGTTTTCTATTATAGCCGGGCGCACTGAGCGTATGAGTTATGCGACATGATTTTTAATTCAGTTTTCAAACAGTAAATCGGCACCGTTAAAAGGAAAAGCTGTTGAATTTGAGTGTAAGAATAAGTACCCGAAATATATCAAATATTTACCTATTAGCACATAAACCTATTTCAGCTTTTACTACTGAAAAGATTCAAGTTCCCTTCCCAGATCTGGTCTAAGAGCCCTCAAGTCTTCTATACCGAGTCTTTACTGTGCAAGTCTCACCCTATTGTCGGCCAAAGAGCTCCTCAGAAGAAGCTCCGACGTCTATAAGACAGAATCTACAGAGTAGATCTTCCACAATCATAAACTTGCGTAGTCTGAAATGCTCTATAAGAAAGCCTGCAATGATTCGTAGATAGTTTTTGCCTCTCTTCGGACACTCGTCTTTTCTTTATCTATCATAGCTACCCAATCTTAAGTAAAACGCAATCACTTTCTGCGCCTTCAGACGAATATCTATTCTAACTTATGTCTAACAAATCTAAATATATCTGAACATAATAATTATTCAAGCAACAACCCTCTAAATAATAAGGCATATATATTACATCTGTTTTCGAAGCAATCAAAATAAGACAACACAATTCCTCAGGCCTCTAGATCAATTGCAAATTGACTCAACACTCAAATGTACTCACCAGATACCCAAGTCCAGAGCCGTCGTTCACATCATTCACGTTTAATTCGCCTTGTCAATCCAGCGTCAGTGCCAGCAATTGATTCGACACAATTCCGGCAAATATCTCCATAGACCTCACAAAATCACACAAAACTGGGCATTTATATTTCTATTGCCGTTTGGCAGCCCGACAGCAGAAGGCGCCAAAAAACACAACTCGATAAGCTGCGATAAACAAACAAATAAACAGTTTTTCGACAGTTTTCAATTCGATCGAATTCTCTCTGTTGCCGCCGCATTGATGAATGCTGATTTTGTGTGCAACCCTCCAAGTAAACAGACTGCACACAAAATGTTCAGCAAATGCTCTTAAAATCACAGAGCAGAGTAAAACAGTTTTTTTATGTGTACTTTGGACGGGCTTATACGAGGCCCACAACCGAGAAGGAAAATATATAGCAGAGTCCGACTAGAAGATACCCTAAGGATAAGCTGGCGTTAAAAACAGCTAGCTTTTTATTACAGTTTTTTTTTTAAATTTTGAGCGAAGGGTGGCTGCTATACAAAAAGTGAAATATTCCAATTCTGTTTATACAAAAAAATAACCTTATATGGTTTCTCTACACACTCATAATCCTCGAGATAAGCGGAAATACTAAAGAATTGGGCAGGAATATTGAAGAGGGAATGGAAATAATTACTTTGCATTTTGATATATGCGAATATTCTCTTAAAATATCAAAAATCTAGGTTATTTTTTAGCGGAAATCGAATCTTTTAAATAGACAGACAGACAGTCGGATATATGCACAGACAGACAGACATGGCTAAATGGGCTCAGCTCGTTGTGTTAATCAGGAATATATGACGACAGACACAACCAATATGCCTTTTATATAAACATATTCAGTGGATGCAGGGTATATAAAGAAAGTGTGCTGCAATTTGTATGCTGTCACTGCCCAAAGCAGGCTTCACATATTTGTAAAGTCTTTCAGCTTAGCTGTAGTTAATATATTAACTTAGATTTTTGTAAAAAATTATTTTACTTCCTTTATAAACTAGCCAAAGACTTAAAATATAAATGCTGCAGCCTTCTACTATTAAAATTAGGTTATATAATTCTTATTGCTAACTGAACTAGTTTCTTACAAAAATCGCATCTAAAGGGACAAAGAATTCGTCAACTTTCCAAATTCGCTTTTATAAAAGATTGCCGAAATGCCCTTTCAACACTTCCCGTAGAAGTCAAAGCGTATAGGGTGTATATTTTGGTGACTGAACATGTTGAAACTTGTTTGCACTTGAGCTTGAGGTGGCAGCAGATGTGCGCAGCACATTCGAAGATAGATCGCCGGGTCGGGATAGTGTACGTGTGGCATGCCATGAATCAAGCGACCAGCTTAGGCATCGATTGTGCCGGTTCAGCAATTAAAAGCCCATAATTCATGCATCAAATAAACTAAAGACTGCCAAATTTTGGTCATGCCCAGGTAGAGGTAGGTTTTTATTTTTCATTTTCTTTACAGGAGCTGCCTGCTTGTTGTCGCATAATTAAATTGTCGAACTAATTGGGGGCCGAGCCGAGTCCCTGATGATGGAGCAGCCACAGCTGACGTCTCTTTAATTATCCGCAAAGAACACGAAGGGGCCGCCAGGAGCCAGGAACTGTGCGTCCCAGTGCGGCATTAGAAACGGGGCGTAGCAGCTTGAAGGAGGTAAAAATCATTTCGACAGGACCCAGGCTAAGGTTGGCCAAAAGCAGGCTGGTCCAACCATGTAGCGACAGCTGCGACAATGACACATGATTATCAGGCAACGCTGCTGTTATTGTAGTTGCCCGACCTGACCTGCATTGCCAGGGTCCACACACACACACACACACACACCCTCCCGAAAAAACCCCGCAAGCAGCAAATGTGGACACGTTGCTACCTGCTGCCAGGTTGCCGCAGCAAAAACATATTATAACATATAGCTCAGCATTAGGGCGAGCGTTCGGGCTCTGTGCTCCGTTTGCCTCCAGCCAATGGCCATGTCCGAGTCCTTGTTGCTATTGCTGTTGCTGTCCCTGGTAGGACACGAGCCATTATGCATGCGTATGATTAATGAGATCAGGTTTCTGTTGATGTGCTCAGCTAGCACAGGTTTGTATGCGACTAATAGCCTTTTATGCTACACCCACGACATTCTCGGCAGATAAGTCGCAGACAATATTCCAAAACACAGTTCGTAATCAGTAATCAAATATTTCAATAACGCAATAAGCAGCTAGCTACACGGCGTTAAGGACTCGCCTGATGACTTGCTGAAACTTATTGTGATTCACGAAAGCTCTCCCAGTCCAGCGAGAACATGGCTTGCAAAGGGTATTATGACAGAAGGAGACGTCTTCGGGCGCATCAAGTATATATATATCCTTAATTAGTATCAAAAGCCGTTTCGATAAAGGCGTGTTAGATAATTCGGACTAGTATATCAATTAGCTCTATAGCAAGAATCTGCCTTGAAATAAGTTATATGGTTTTTTACAGGCTACCCTAACTGCAATTCTATTGCAACTCGGACTACTATCATATACGACTCCTATACGAAAGATAGTTGTCTATAGTTGTGCTCTTGTATAGGTGCACTTCAAAGCCACATGTCTGCAAGAGTATTTAATTTTCGGCCTGCCGAAAATAGCTACTCTTTCATCTTTCATATGGAAAACCCATATCGCTTATTTCTGTCATGCATCCGCCAAAGGTATTTAATCAATTATGTCATGCTCTTTTTACAATTCAATCCATCAAATTGGAAAACTAAGCTCTTATGCATATTTCTGCCCAGCACAGTGGGTCATCTGTAAGTGCGATGCACATGCGACCGCACCACAGAGCAAGCCACAACTGGCAATTGTCGCACTGTGGCGCGCACATTGGGCGCAAATCCAGTTCAATTTGGTTGGTTGGCCTTGCGCCGGCATCACAAATTCATGACTCTTTGCCCAAAAATGCAGCCGCCAGTCAAAAGAGATGTACGCACGCACACACGCACACATTTGGGTTAGCCATCAATCAAAGGGGGTGACAAAAATCGCTTGCAAAAATTTGTTGTGGGCGACAGAAATTGTCGTGCCACGCGGCGTATGCGTGACGGGCTTGACATGCAGGCAGCTGGCAAGGACATGTCCGTTGATAATTATCCTCGTAACATTTTAATAATTTCAATTTATTTTTAATTAACTGACCAGCGCCGAGCATTTGACAATTTGGTTTCGCCAAATTGACGCTTTGAACTTTTGCGCCAGCGGTTTTTCATGGTCTCGGCCGTCAGACAATAGTTGAATTTAATTTATTGCCGGCGCTGCCTGTTTTTGGTCCTGCGCTGACAGGCGATTTAGATTGATTGCCGCTGAGCCAAGAGAGATTAATTAATAAACGCGCCCCGCGGCAAATGAATGCAAAAACAAATTTATAATTGTGTGTGCGCTTTTTTCCGTTTTGCTGTTGCCGTACACGCTGCAAGCTGCAAATTGGCCAAAGGCCACGCCCACACTGCCATTGGCCTTGTAATTTATATTTTTGGCTGCTGCTGGCAACTTGTTTGCCATTCATTAAGTTGTCGCCAAGGTGTCGCGCAGCCCGTCTACGCCATGAATGTCAAACAATTCTCGAAATTAATTTCATTTCATTGCGCAATATTTTTTTTGGGTCTGAGGCAACTTTTTGGCCCTGTTGTGTTCGGCTAAGCTGGCGCTTAAATTAAATGCCAAATATTGCAAAATCGCGCTGAACGACAGAAATTAATTAACATTTCCCACAGCGACGCCCAGCTGATGTTTTGTGCCCCATCCATAGCGCCGCGTTACGGTGCGTATGATTAATATTTGCCAGGCAATAAGTGACCCGGTCGCACGTGTCTGGCCGAGGCGAGACGTTGCTTTGCCTCGAATGCGACTGCGTCTTTGTCAGTTTTAAATTCAACAAGGCCACGCCCCACACGGCCTACGCCCAACACGCACACACACACACGCACACGCACAACACACTTGAGTGAAATCGCCCCCGCCCGGTACATAAATCTCTCAAGTGTCACATAAAATTTCCGCACATGCACGGAATCAAAATGAAAAAAATGAACGACAACAACAATAAAAATTGTCGAAAAAAAAGAGGGAACTGCAAATGGCCAAAGCAACGAAGTGTTAATACACTTTGTGGCATGTCTGTCAAGTAATTTAATATAAATAATATGAAAATATGAAAAAATTTGTTTCAAAATTCAAATTTTAAATGTTGACAAAGTTTTCAAGGTATGTTGCCGAATTCAAATAGATTTTCTTTGTTATTTTTATAGCTTAAATAAAACAAATTATAAATAAAATATGTTTAAGCTCATATAAGTTCCAGAAAATTATAGAGTCTGATATGAGAAGCTCAAATCGAATGGCACAGTGCATACAACCCTGCGTAGAGTATTTTAAGTAAAAGCAATGAAGGTGGGGGCTGTCGAGTAGGCGGCACTCAGAGGCTGTAGTGCAATAAGTCAAGTTATCAAAGTTAATAATTCTTAATGTTAGTGCATAAATAAGACAAGGGCTATAAGGACACGCAGACGGACACAAGAAGGAGAGGGAGAAAGAGAGAGAAAGAGTGAGAGAGACAGCGAGACAAACGACATGTAACTGGCAGTGCCCATAAAAGTATGCTATACGACAGTCAAAACGCAGAACTTCAAATAAATACAAAAAATGAAATTTTAAATTTATGCAAAAAACAGATGAAAAAGAACCGATGCCAGGCCAAAAAGAAAAGAAAAGAACGGCAAAGAAAAAGAGCCGGCTAATTTGCATAAAGAAATCGGCTAGCGGCAAACGAGGGGCGATGTGTGTGCAGCGAGACGGCAAATATGAAACTCTCGCAAGTGTTTATGCTGACATCGCGACAAAAAAGAAAATACACACACATCTGTGTTTATACAACTGTTTGCCTTTATTTGGCAAGCCTTTGTGGCTAATAGCGCACACTGTTTGCTTTAAGCAGGAAAGCATAAATGCCACAAGAACCGAGCAATAAAGCGCACAATCATTTCATGTGCACGACTCACAGCAGCTTTACGCATGTGTCTGTGTCTGTCTGTGTGTCTATGTGTGTGTGTCTATGTGCGTGTGAGTAGCTGAAGGCATGTGTCACTGACCATGGCCATCAGGTTGGCTTTTGCGGTCAAACTCAACAGTTATCAGCTTTGGGTTTAGTTTTAGGCATTACAGCATATGTTGCGCATTTGGTTAAGCCTTCCTCGGGACTTCATATTTGGATATATAATAAATTGTATATGCTAATTTGGAGATATATACATATGTTTCACTTATGGCTAACAATATAATGCTGTTGCCTTTTAAGTTATTCAAAATGTTTGCCCTGCGGCAGACTGTCGTAATATTTATGGGCAGACGCCGCCGCCAACCATTATTCAATATATTCATTTATATATTTTACACTATTTTTCAGCATATCCTTGCCGTCCTCGCTGATTATCATAAATTAAAATTTTGTGCACTCGTTGCTTAAGCTGCGCGCTAGAGATATGAAACTTAAGTAGCCCCCGTGGCATCTACATAATTAGCTTGGTTCGTGCCTGGCTCCAGCCACGTTTTAAAGAAGTCAAGAAAGCCAAAGGCACAAAGAGACGCACCAGAGTTCATTGTGCCACAATTCATTTGGCTAAAAGTGTACATAAATGCCGGCCCTCGAGCTAACAAAACGATTGCATCACTTTTTGACGCCAACTGCGGCTGCGACTGCGGCTGCAGTCAAGGATGCGCAAGCCACGTTGTTAATACTGTTAGCCAGCTTGGCAATCCATGGGGAATGCTGTGGCCAGCTAAACTGAGGCCCAGCTGCTGCTCTAAGGTGATTATATTGTACATTCCAGTTTCGGTATGTGGCCGTGTCATATTCGTATATCTTACAGCTGCCCACCTGATTAGAAGTAGGTCTAAAGCTGAGATTGTTATTTGTTCTTGTTGTTGTTGTTGTTGTTGTTGCTCTTGGCAATCTCTTTGATTGCTGCGCTGTCTGTCAGTTCGTGTACTTTTGGGATCGTTTAATTTTAGGAACATCTCTTGCTCCTCTTTTAACCCTTTTGTGCTGCTGCTGCAGCTGCTGTTGGCCTTTTGTTGCCCCATTTTGGGTTTGCATTGAATTGCAAAATTGTTACAATACACCTACCACACACACACACACACAGACACCCCCACACACACACACCAGCGCCCAGTTCATTCTTAGCCATTACCCAGTGCGCTCGACAGGCCGCGTTCAAATCTCCACTGACCGGAAACTAATTTGAAAATGTTATTCATTATGCATAGCGCTCGCAATGGCTGTAATTTTTCGCGCACTTCCTGCCACACTTTTTGCAAAGCTTTCTTTTTTATTTTCTATTTTTTTTTTTTTGTATTTATGCACAGTTTGTTGCAGTTTCCACGCTTGAAGTGTGTGCGGATGTGTGTGAAAAAGTTTAAGGAAAAACTTTCGCCTTGCAGCGCGCGATAAGTGCCCAGATTTTAACTGGCGCCTGGCTATGAGTTTTAACCAGATTGTTGCTTATGGTCTGTATTAGCGCATTATGGTCGCCAGCTGGAAAATGCATGAAAATCCATTAATAGAAAGCCAGCCAAAGAAAGAGACAGCGATAGAGGCAGAGAGAGAGAGAGAGAGAGAGAGATCTACACCTGGCGTATGCGCGACACTTCAACTGTCACTTGTTAATTCTAATGGAAAGCATCTTGAGAACTAAGTAAACGACATAAATAATAAGACGACAAATTAAGTTGACTGTCGCCGAAAGTAAAACAATACAGCAAGAGTCATAGACGGAAATGGCAAATGCAGTGCAGAAAGGCAGCCGGAGATGCAGCTGAAACAATGACAGACAACGCGAGCGCAGGAATTGCCAAGTTTTAGCAGAAAGACAAAAGTCTGGGCAACGTTTTAAGTTTTTAAGCCACACAGATAGATAGATAAAAATGGCGTGCGACGCACGGAACATGAACAAAAATGGCACCCACAAGAGCTTCCGGCAGACATCCGCTTTAACAACTCTGTTAGCCGCATACACACATGAAGTGAGCGAGAGAGTGAGAGAGAGGGATGGGGGAGTGGGGAGTGGGAGTTACACACATGCGACTGCGAAATCAGCGACAATAAAGTGCGCCCTGCACATTAGCTGCGGGTCATGGGGTCTGGTTGGTGAGCAACGCTTTTTGTCATAAACCCATTAAAAGTCAAGGACGAAATTCATGTTGCATGTTTATTCATGCACACACACACACACACACACACACGGACAGACAACTGTTATATAGCAACAACCATAACAACAGCAGCCACAAGCAACCGCCGCTTACAAAGTAGCTTTAATTAATGTAACTCATTAAAGGGCTGCTGCCAAGTCCTGGCCCGGCATCAAGCCGAATGCCAGCCAGGCTAAGCAGCAGCAGGCCTAGACGGAAGCGCGCGCGCTTTGACCTGCCACAATGCGCTGCCATATATTAGCCTGGTCCACACCGACTTCTGGCCCGCCCAGCTAGCACTCCATTTGCGTGTCCATGGTTCCTGCCGACCCGACGTTGTCCTGCCACGAGCCACGCAACGAGTGGCTGCTGTTACGATGAGAGCCGACCACCGCGTAGAAATGCACGAGAGCGCAACGAAGCTTTGCGGGGCGCCAGCTGGGGAAATTATTTGGTAAAGTTTAAAAAAATAATTCCGAAAGAGTCGCACTACCCCTGGCAAAGCAGTTGACAAAGCAGCTTAAAATGAAAGCGACCAAAGCAGTGGTTTCAAGTGTTATACGAGTCTTATACAAGACACATATGACGCTATAACTATCATATACACAACCCCGCGCATATTTTCTATTAAAATGTGACTCTTATACGCTTAAACGCTAGCAAGCACACGAGCCTGTCCAGTTAAGTTTGTTATACAAATGTAGACTCTAGACGTTAGAGCTAGCACATACACGAGCCCGCGTCTATTTGCGCATACACCTATGAGGCTCTTATACGATAGTACACGCACAAACACGCACCTGCTTTAATGACACTTTTTTAAAATGATTTTAGCTAATACAAATTTAGAAAACATTGCAATTATTAGCGGGGCTGAATTTGGCAAAGCAGTGCAACAAATATTTGAAAAGCAGTTGTTTTAGTTTAATACGTTTGTCATACAAATGTAACTCTTACACTATATATTAGCGCAAACACGAACCTTATATAAATGTGACTTTTCAATATATATTTGCGGCTAGAGCTGCTTTTATGCCAATTTTGTAGGACTTCCCTTAAGAGCAAAGCTCTCTCTCTCTCGCGCTCAATTGGGTTAGCACACCTGTATGAATTGAACTGCTCTCCGCTCTCTTGCCCACACATGCGCCTCTGCGAGCTGTTGCTGCTGCTGCCAGGACTAGGCCAACAGGCTGAGGCCTGACGACCTGGCTGCAGAGCAAGCAACAGCTTTCGCTGCGTCGCCAGCGCCAGCGCTGACATTATCATGTTCGACAACAGCAACAACAAAAAAACCAACCCCCCAACGCCCCTTCCAACTAGAAGCCAGCCACACATCCTGTGGCATGCCCGGCACCTGCTGCATTTCCAAACAAAGGGCATTTATTTAGAATGGCAAGCACAAAGCGGAAGCAGCAAGAAATCAGACAACATGCAACGTTACCTTGGCAACTGCTGGTCAAAACAAACGCAAGCATCGAGCTGAAAATTTCGACGCAATAAACTAAACTTTTCCAGCCGCAGTGGGATTTAGAGCAAAAAAAAAAACAATTCCCAGCCATGCAATTAAAATATTTGCGAACGCTGCTCGAGGGACAGGTAAGGAACTCAGGAATAGCTACCATTACCCAAGATTAACAGACACACTCACCCACTTTCCAGGAGCAAATCCAGCGTATTGCGGGTCTCGCCTGGTCGCCCAATCAGCAGAAATTGGCAATTGCCACCGCCGATCGCCACATTCTGCTGTACGATGATGCGGGCGAGCGTCGGGACAAGTTCAGCACGAAGCCAGCGAATGCGGCCAATGGCAAGAACTCGTATGTGATACGCGGCCTGGCCTTCAGCCCGGACTCCACCAAGCTGGCGGTGGGCCAGAGCGACAGTATTGTCTACGTCTACAAGCTGGGCGAATCATGGAACGACAAAAAGGTCATTTGCAACAAGTTCCCCCAGGCGGGCGCAGTCACAGCCCTCATTTGGCTGGCCACAGGCGCCATTGTCGCGGGTGAGTCAACCCTCACACCCATCCCTCAATATCTTCTCATTGTAACGCCTTTCTGCAGGACTCGAGGATGGCAAAGTGCGTGCTCTGCACTGCAAGAGCAACAAGTCGCAGAGCCTTTACAGCGGCGACAGCATCTGCATCTCGCTGGCGGCCAACACCAAGGGCAATGGCTTTCTCAGCGGCCACAACGATGGCACCATCATCCGCTACTATCTGACGGAGGAGGCCACCGAACCTTTGGGTCGTGTGGTGCAGCATCCAGTGCCACCATTTGCCCTCGCCTGGCCCCAGGGCGGCTTCTGTGCCGCCGGCTGTGATCAGCGCATTGTCTTCTACGACAGTGTGGTACGTATGGGCAGCAGGGTCAAGGGGTCAAGGGTTGGCAGGGCTAGAACCTAGGGAGAGCTATCAGATTTTGGCGGTACTTACACGGTGTCTCGTCAGATCTCTCGCGCCCGATCTCTCTTTAAATTAGATCTGTCTCTTTCCGATTGTTAGCTAACCTCTCTTCCGTCTAATGCTCTCTCTTTCATTCTGCCTCTCTTCCATCTAACGTTGCCTTTCTGTCATGTCTATAATAATCAACTTTCACTCTTTCTCCCTCTCTCTCTGTCTCTCTCTGTATTGCTCTACGTTCCTCCAGGGCCGTCAGCAGCGCTGCTTTGATTTCTCACGCTCCGAGGGCGAGCGCGAATTCACGGTCGCCGCCTGCAGTCCCAACGGGCAGGCGGTCGCCTTTGGCAGCTACGATCGCATCAGGATCTTTGCCTGGAGTCCGCGCCAGAGCGCC